TTTCCTAAGTGTGGGATAGTCCAAAAGTATTCTAAGTTATGCACAGAATAACAGAGCAAAAACAAATACATACATACATATTTAGGACGAACTTAAAACCGGTTCGATGGCATTTATATACCTACATACATGTGTATATATGTGCGATAGATTCCAACGGTTAATCACCGACGCTACGAGAAAGATGCGATAATGAGTTGGCATTTGGGTGATTCCACGGTAATCGATACCGAATGAAACGAAAATAGCCTTAAGAATTTGAGTGTATTATTTCTAGTAAGTAAGTGTAAACAAATCTATCTAATCATTTACAAACTCATATGAGGGGTTAATTTTCTTAAAATTGTCTTGTTTGCATTGTTGAAACGTCAATGAAGACAACAATTCGTCAGCATTGTAACAGTGTAATTTTCAAATTTTTTAGGCAAGTACTAAATATATTATTATGTATTGAAGCAAAACCTATTTTAATGTCACGCCCGGCACAAAATACACAAAATGGTTATTTTTTGAAGGTAAACATATCTTGAACAGTGTAAAAAAGCTGACGAAAGTAACTCTATGACTCAGGCGAATACGTGCGAATTGCTTCTACGGCCAGGGACTGCTACCGCTACTTCCCTGCAAAAATCGTTGGACCATGTAGTCTATTTGTAGTAAATTGGAGTACCACAAAAGTGTTCCTCTGTCATGCTGTAGCGGACCAACTCGTGTCTCTGCGCCAGCTTATTGTTTGTTATCCGATCACTGCTCGTGTTTTAACGAAATGTGATTGAAGTTGAGCATTTGAAAGCACATTTGCATGTCTGGCTTTAGCTGAACGTGTAGAGATGCTCGCTGTTAGTTCTTAGCTCCCAGCATGTTCGGGTTCGAATGCCGTCATAGGCAACATGTAATTTTTATTTTTTGTCTTGGTTTTTATTGATTTCGAAAAAGCATTTGAGAAGTGAAGAACAAAAGCGTGTACAAACGAAAAAATATAACAACAATGCCATTGTTAATATGTTGGAGTAGTTTTGTGCTACTCTGATGTAATGCAGAGATGGAGTATATGGTCTTGCCCTAGGACATCGCAATGTTAATTGGACCATATTTTTTATATGAATTGTGGTTAATTTTGGAGCACTCCTTGGTCCTTAGGGAGTACTCTTTACATGCATACATGGAGTAGTCGCAATTTTTGCAGGGTTATCTGCTAATCTGAAATGTATCATATATTTGTTTGTGATCACCGAAAACTTAAGCTATGCTGCCACGTATAAAAAGAAACCATTACTTCACTTGTCAGGGCAAAAACATCCTATCCGGTTTGACAGGTAACAGCCTCATTTAATGTGTAGTACTATTTAAAAATAAGGTACTTTTTAATGACTCTGAAAGACAGTGGAGAAGAAGTGTCCTATCAAGGATTACCCTGTCTTTAGGTGGCAGAATCTTTTATGTGTTTGTGAAATCCAATTTTTCGAGAAATAAAGTTTGGTTGCGTTGTCTAATAATGAATAAGTTGAATTTGGAACACATAATCTCTAATTTCCAAAAGAGGTAAGCAACTTTGGCGTAAATGCTGAAAATGTTTACTTAACTATAAAACGAACTATTTAAAACAATGAGGAGAAGACATAATTAGCAGAAAACTCTGATACAAGTAAGAAGTAGCTAATTGGGTTTGCGTACTCGTCACACCCGTCTCAGTGACTAAAATTCATATAACTCGTTTGGATTAAATTGGTTTAAAATTTTTTTCCAGGCATTGTGTATACCTTGGAAACCTATTAGAAAATACTCGTTTTACAAAATTTTATATTACAGTCTTAAAATGAGTTGATATTTCACACCCGTCACCGTGGAATGAGCCATTCGTTTATTTTTTTTGTTCATCCAACATCTATACTGCTTAAGTATTTTTGGGAATCACCAGCATCACGGAATTAGAGAACCACTTCGGCGATCTACGATTTTTAGCGATCGCTTGCTTCATGGTTGTTGTTGTTGTGGCTTTGATTGATGTTTGCTTAAGGCTTTCTGCTCATTGGTCGTCCAATCATAGTTGAGTCATAGTTATCGTCATGAAGCAACGATTACATGACGATTACACTTCTGCACACGTGGTCGTGATATTTCAATTCATTTGGCGTCTAAAAATTCACTTGGAGCAGGTATTTTCTGTTTTTTTGGTTGATATTTTCGCGAAATATTTACAAAAACCTGCAATTTTTTAAATATAGACTGTGCTGCAACATTTCTAGACGTAATTTTCCAGTAATATCTCTTCTTTTCTTTTCCTGGAATGTGTTTTGTGTATGCACACAGAGACTTAATACAATTTCGTCATATTTTATAGTTAAAACGCTCATATTTATTAAATTTTAATGCAATTATCCACTTTTTAATAATTTCCACAGATTTTATGCAAAAAAATACTAATTTTTATACAATTTTAATGCAAATATTAACTTGTTCACTAATTTTCCCCCATAAAATGTCAACAAACAATGCGTGCACAACGATTAGCAAACGACAGTGCCGTACTTATCTGTTTCTGCATCTTCTACGATTTGCCGATAACTAGCCGATAACGACAAGTGTGCAGATCTCCTTTGAAATGCATGTGCTCGGCTCAAAATTTCAGGGCGAGACGATAACGCAACTATGATTGGACGACAAGTGTGCAGATAGCCTAAGAGTGCAGCAGTATGCGCCTCGTTGTTCAATTTTTTCTCCTACGCTTTGTCATTTTAAATTTTGTAGCCGTATGCTGCTTCGCTGGGCTCGAAGATCCACAGCCGCCGAGTATATTATTTTCCTGCCGATCGCAGTTACTTATGTATGTATGTATGTAGTTGCTAAGCCATTGAAATAACGAGCGTGTGAGCGAGGCAGGACGTTAGTGTTTGGTCCACACATGTTCGTACATATGTGTGTGTGTGAGATCGAACGGCGTCTACTACCTGTTGACGGGTGTACAAAGCCTCAGCAAGCGACTTCGCTTGAGTATAAATAATTTTCGCATAACTGTGTATGGACATTAGTGTGAATTGAGAAGACATTGACGCACGCATTGCCGCTGTTCGTAGCATAAACAAGCCACTGAATTATTCAGCCTCATTGCGAGAGTCGTGCCGAATGCAAGTCGTTTTTCGAGAGTCGAATCGTATCGAAAATTTAGCGTCATTGCCTAAAATTTCCACTCGACTAGTGTATTAAAACGGAAGAACTTGGCAGCACTGCGTAGTTTTCGACAATTTTCGTCGCTTACTTATTTCAGCACGACAGTAGACAATGCTAATGTTGTCGAGTCGTACAATTCAGCCTAATTTACGACTTACGCAATGAGGCTGATTATTTTTCGGCCGTATAGATCCAACGCGAATTTAACGTCATGAAAGTTCTATTTGCTGTCGCGCTCTTGATTGCAGTTGCTTCGGCGATGCCAGAATTCGGGTTTGGCGGCTATGGACGCCCTGGTTTCGGCGGTCCTGGCTTTGGTGGAGGCTACGGCCGTCCTCCGCCTCCCCATGGAGGTGGCTTCGGTCCTGGATTTGGTGGGGGCGGCTTTGGAGGCCCAGGATTTGGTAGACCAGGATTCGGAGGGTCCGGATTTGGTGGTGACGGTGGAGCTTCCTCCTCGTCTTCTTCAAGTGCCAGCTCGTCGGCTGGCGGTGGTTTTGGTGGTGCCGCTGCTTCTTCTTCCGCGTTATCTTCTGCTTCGGCCGGAGGTTTTAGGGGCTAATTGTCAGAGAGTAGAATTTAATTTTAAATTGAATTTTTTGTAAGATAGTTTAATTAAAATGTATGCAAGTGTGTGAGAAGGCTGATAAGAAGTACATGAATGTATTGATTTTTTTAGTAAAAAAAAGCTTTAAATATTAAAACTCAACTAAGTTTCATAGTGTTTAGTTTATCTTATCGCTGTACTCGTACTTTTAGCAGACACTACGCGATACACAAGCGATACTCTGAATCTGCGGTATGATGATTTCAAATACATAACCATCTGGGAGTCGGATGGGCAAATATTCCCCCCTATTATGAATTTCCATACGATAAACGATAAACGCTTGCAAGCGTATCGTATGAAATCAGTATTGGTATTGTCGTTTTCATACGCCCGATAGATGCACTATTGTGAATGACCGTGGTTTTTGTTTACTTTATTTTGTGAAATTGAGAGTGAGCAATAAAATAAAAATTAAAGGACATGTTTTCTACAACATCAATTGCGTTTTTTATAAATTTAAATGAAGGATATAATGAGACTCGCATAGAGGCTATCGAAAGAAGAAATTTAAGAGATGCTTCGAATCCTCTGGAAATGAATTATATATTGTAGGTAGCTCATAAATGTACATTTAAAAGTTCAATAATTAAGAAGCGCTTTTAGTTTTCAGAGGAATTTTCGACTTTCCAAAGAAGCAGTTATTTATATCCTGAATGAAGTAGAAAACAAATTGCGTGTACGGAAAAATAAGTCATCCATACCAAATATAATAAAGGTATGCGCAACTCTAAGATTTCTAGCCCAGGGATCATACCAACAGAGTGTTGGTAATGAGGCGTTACTTGGCTTAGCCCAACCTACTGTTTCCATTGTATTGAAAGAAACATTGAGTGCTTTGCAAACAACTCTATGTAGTAAGTGGATTAGCTCCAAGTATACTGAGGAAGAAAAGAGAAGAGCAAAATCTAGCTTCTTTGCATCAAGTGGTATTCCCGGAGTAATTGGATGCATTGACGGGACCCACATTAAGATTGTGGCACCAGAAAAAAGTTTGCAGCATTTGTATTACTGTCGAAAGGGGTATTTTAGCATAAATGCAATGCTAGTAAGTAAAGAAATTTCTATACAGTAATTTAAAGTATTTTAAATTTAATGTTTTTTCCTGTTACAATTTTGCGCCCGTTTTAGACCTGTGATGATTTAATGAACATAAAATACATCAATGCCAAGCACCCCGGCGCTACACACGACTCCATGGTTTTTCAAAAACAATTGGAGACAATTGGAGTCAATGTATAACCGTGGTGAATCTAACACCTGGTTATTAGGTACTCAACTTGTAACTCAAATATTTCATATTTAATTTATTTACTTTCTATGTTTTAAGGTGACGCTGGATATGCCTTAGCGCCTTATTTGCTAACACCTTACAGGAATCCTGAAGAAGGTTCAGTAGAAAGTTTATATAACTCGCGGCACTCTAAAGCAAGGAATATTATTGAAAGGACGATTGGGGTTTTAAAGAGTCGGTTTCGCTGTTTGCTAAGTGCTCGCGCACTTCACTACACTCCTGAAAAAGCCACTTTGATCATAAATGTTTGTGCAGCTTTACATAATATTTGCAATCATTACAATGTACCATACGACGAAGAGGATATTGCAGATGTGCAAAATGAGAATTCGGAAATTGCAATAGAAACTTCTGAAAATGACTCTACTCCTATGCGACAAGCTGCAGAAGAAATCAGAAGAAATGTACTGTCTTGTTTGCATTGATTTTTACTATATTTCTTTAGGTTTTTATCAAAAAATAATAAAGCTTCTTGCTTCAGGTACAAACTCAAATCCATTGTTTTTTTAATATAAAATAAGATCACATTCGTAGCTTAAAAGTAAATGTATCTACTTAAAGAATTCAGTCCACTATATTTTCTAAACTTACTTAAACAAACTAAAATTCACTTTTTTTTTCATAAAATCACATTCGTAGTTAATAGTAAATGTATCTACATAAAGAATTCAGTCCACTATATTTTCTAAACTTACTTAAACAAACTAAAATTCACTTTTTTTTCATAAAATCACATTTGTAGTTAATAGTAAATGTATAAAATTAAAAAATTCAGTCCACTACACTACACTTTATAAATTTACATATTTACATACTTAAAACTAACCATTTTTGTACATATTCTGCTTGATCTCAAGAAGTTTTTTCTTGAGTTCTAACTTTGCTTTCCTATCTCTTCTCTTACTTTCCATTTCCTGCTTATAAATAGCGAATTTATCTTTTTTTATATAGTAAGTTTTTTTTGTATATACTTCAATATTTGAAAGGCTTTGTTTCATCTCTTTTAGTGTGGCCAAAGTCTCCTTTTGAAATTCAGCCTGCTGATCTGTCTGCCGCTCAAGGAGTGCAATTTGTTTTTCTTCTCTCCTTTTAGGGTTAGAGCTGCTATTTCGGCCATGCTCTCGCGAAGGTATCACATTTCGCGAAGGCCCTGGGATATCGTGGTCTGAATATATTTCCACTTCCGTAACGGACTCATTATCGTCATTATTTTGTATTTCAAATTCTTCGCCTGGCGGATTGTTGTAAGTGGTGTAGCTCATTAGCCTGTTCACCGTCTCTTCCAGATTTGAGAGTGGAACTGTGTTATTTGGCCCACCTCCAGTTGCTAAATTCTCTGCGTGGTTGTGAGCGCTCTTTTTCTTTGTTTTATATTTTAAATCGTTCCAAACCTACAGTAATAAAATATTTTAGTCTTTCAGTTCCAAATATACGCACTACTAATATGCTTACTCGTTGCCATGCATCTGATGATCGTGTTGGTGGTCCTAATGAGTTCAGCTCCTGAGTAATTTTTTCCCAACGTGGTTTCGCGACAGCTTTATGACATATTCCTCTTGCGAGGTCGGTATTCTCCTCCATTAGCGAAGCAAGACGCTCTAGTTGATGCTTTGTACTCACAACTCTCGGCCTAAAGAAATTTTTGAATTGAGTTTATAACTAGTTCATAATTTATTTTTGCTCATTTTAATACTTACATTATTCCAATTTCTCAAAATAATTAACAAATTTTAATTTGGTATACTAGCACAGCAATCTATCGTTTAAAAATGGCGAACCGCTTGCAAGCGTCTGAAATCGAGCGGCTGAGACGATAGTTATCGTTTGGCAATATCATATTTTTACGATATACGATAAACGCTAACTATCGGATTTCATACGATAGACTTAAATTCGTAATACGGGATAACAGAATGCAAGCGTTTATCGTGTATCGTATGAATTCATAATAGGGGGGATTAACAGTTGCGTAGATCAGAGACATTCTTTTTCTAAGCTGACGCTGGCTTTTTTATGCGGCGTCCTGGTTTTATGCTTTGTTCGTTAGTCTCAGGTTTAGTCTAAACCCCTGGTACTTAATTAGCTACTATGCCTGAGTGTCTTTGATGTCACGGAAGTGCTTTTAATGCTCAATTCTAAAGGAAGATGCTCTTCTTCTTAGAAGTAGAACGTTGGGTTTAAGTCTTGTGAGTTTGCTTCGTGGTACTGGAGCCGCGCATTTTGCTTATCATAATTTATTTATCTTCTGGTGTGCTGCTTTGCTGTCCCTTCTTTACTGATTTCATCTGCGTAACCTGCTAAGTGGGTACCGTTAGCCATTTTGGGGTTTTAGTATTCCATCAAAACTGGCATTCTAGAGGTCTGGACCAAGAAGGCAGTATTTTTCTGCAACTGACTTGATTGTAAGTTACCGGAATCATCGGTGCTTTGTTACACTAGCTGCCGCTACTCCAGAAAACTCCTCAGCAATAGTCCAATGTACTTTTATGTGCACGAGTTCGTATGTAAATTGTATGATTTTCATCGTGCGATTATCATTTCTTCCATTTTACGGTATTGCAGACGTTGCGAACGCCATAGTTGCCAGCAAGACCGTCTTCTTGTGTTCGTATGCAGTTTCTTCTGTCGCTGATGTTTTTGATTGTTCTTCCAGGCCCGAGCTCACTGTCTTAAGGAGAGTCCACCGCCTCTGGCAATAGCCGTTTCTATACTGAGATCAAGTAGCCTATTTTCAAGTTTCCCTACTGTGCTCAGCGTGCAGCGATATTTTGATGGTGAATTGGAATTCCCTTTACCTTTGTTGATTTAAATAGGCTGTAGTCTTTTCCAGGCTTCTGGAAATATTCCCTAGGTCGCTCTGTGGTAAACATTTCTAAATTTATGCCCTCTTGGGATTTGTAGTTGGCGGACTTGAGTTCTTTCGCAGTCAAGATGATGGTCTCTGGGGAAGTGTTTTTCGGCTTTATTTCTTTATTTCATGTTCTATTTTTGGGAGAGTGCATTCGCTATGTGATCGAGTTTTCGAGAGCTTATCACTGAATGCAAGATTTTTCATTACCAATTTGTAGTCTTGACTCATGATTCATCTTATTTCCCTTCTCAAGACTAATGTCTGACCTGTTTTGACTGCATAATTAGCGGCTATGTTCAGCGATTAGGAGGTTTGAATTGGTGTCTTTAAAACGATCACTAATAAAGCTCTTACGCGATATGTATTTACACATATATAAATGCTCTTTTTCTGGTGCGTTCTAATATATGGTATATACGAGTAGATACAGAAAAGTAGCATTTAAATATGCAAATACTAGGGCTGTGCGATTATTCGATTACTCGAGCAAGTTGGTTAATCAATTATTCGGTTAATCAATTACTCGAGTAATTAAGATTTTGATTACTCAAAACGATGATTAATCGAGTTACTTGAAATATGATTACTCAAAAAAAATAATTTTGCTCGTTAAAAGAGTTTGCTTTGGAAAATGTATACTTTATTTTTTACATTCTGTATATGAAAAAAATTTTGTTTTAATTTTTGAAAACAGAAACGTTGTTTTCAAAGTATCAAGGAACTTTAACTACTTTATACATGTTTTGCTGAGAAGCAAAACCAACGTACGCCGGTGCGAACTCACGACGATGTATCACAAGGAAAAAAAGAAATATAAACACTTGTATTAGAATAAGTATATATGTATGTAAGACGGTTTATTGCAAGCGCATATACGAAGTTATATGCCTTACTCAATTACGATGTACATAAGCAAAGTAGGACAAAGGAATGGATGTTCACAATATACATATGGATTACCTTAAATAGTGATCGCTGACTCAATGCTGCTGTCGGTCTGGCTGCTGTCATCAAAAAGAACCGCAGTTCAAACCGAACATCGCATTAAATAATCTTGAACTTCGAAAGAAGCCCACCGGTAGTTTTCCCGCAGCGGTGTAGCTTTGCAGCGAACAGCGGTGCAGAACACTTACCAGTGGTTCCCAACTATTGAAGGCTTTTGGCTTCAACAATACATATGTAAAGAGTTGAAATGTTGATTACTCATTTTACTCGAAATGTTGATTAATCATAAAGCAACTTACTCAAATATTGTTGTTTTTGGTTAATCAAAAATCTTGATTACTCGAGTAACTGAACTTTTGAGTAATCATAATTTCCAATTAATCGAATAATTGAGTTATTTACTTTATGATTAATTAAAATTTTGAGTAATCAATTAATCGCACCGCCCTAGCAAATACATATCGTGTAAGTAAGCAGAGTAGTTCATCTTTCATTACAACGAAATTTTACTACTAAAAATCGTTATCCATTCCGGTAAGCACGATTCTAGAATCATTGGTAACGTTGTCAATGCAATCAGCCATTTTTGTACGGAAACGCTGATGCTGCATATTTCACGGGGAGCGCAATTTGGAGCGCCACCCAGTGGCTCAGTTGACTAAGTGAAAATGAACGGAGCAAAAATCGATCGCCATTCATTCATTGCTGCCTTCCGGTGGCTATAGTTTGTTCATTGCCTTGCTGTTAGTGAAGGAGCAAAATAGTTTTGGATCGAAGTATTTTTTTTTTGCTATTCTGAGAACGATTTGGTTTTATGTAATTTTTATTGACGTACATAGTTGTCCTTTGCTCACTAAAATAAATTAGCTCAGCACCCCGCATTTGGAATGAATGATAACTAATTGCAAGCGAAATGACAACATTGTTTAAATGCGTTTTCTTGCGCTTTTGCTTGAAATTTGTCAAAATTTTGACTTTGCCAAGCTATATCTTAGCGAGTTGAACAAAAAAAAAAAATATTCAATATACAATCTAACCTTTTGTTCATGATTTGTCATAAAAAAAGACAAATATAAATATCTTCAAATGTATTCACGGACAACACTGACAAAGTGAAAAAAAAAACAAAACAAATAAGGGGCGATTTCTGTTTTATGAGCAAAGAAGCATTCTAAAACTGGAAGCAGCCAACGAGAAAGAACCTAAAAATTTTGTCAATATTATTGTGGCTTATTAATATTTATTGCAATATTGTTATTGAGCTTTGTACCGGCATTATGCTTTTTAGGAAAAATGGTAAAAGTAACAAAGTCTAAGTGGTAGAAGTTATAGCTGCTGTTTCGGAGATCAGCGGAGAGCTGCTGTTGTAGAAAAAGCCCAAAAGGACAATACCGATTTTACCTGATTTTTTGTTTTGTTTTAGCAAAAGGATATGTACATATATATAAATAATTTCATAATGTAATTAGATTGGTTGCATATTGAGAAAGCCGGTTTAACAAAATCACTAAAACAAAAAAAATACAATAAATAAATATACATAAGTAGTTACACCCGGCTTCACTTGAAAAGCAACATTATTTTTTTCAAGATTCGAGCTTACGTATATTTAGTGCCATAAAATTACGTTGCTTTAATTGATTTTTGTGACAATAGCAAAGTTATTAAAATTCCACTTAAAACCTTTTTAACAGTCAAAAGACATTTCGAATCAAGTAGGCACACTTTTAATTAAAGACAAGTAAGAGCAGCGCTGTCTTCGGCTATGCCGAAGGCTTCATACC